AAATCTTTATAAATCTGACGTTCATACTCAAAACTTAGTGACTTGTTTCGTAGACATTCCATCAATATATCTCAGATTATAGAACAATTAGTGGTCCGCCCTCGCTACGCTTCGGTGTACAGATTTAGTGTAGATTATAGTTTTGGTTCTCAGGCTTGTATATATGCACTTTTTGGTTGAACGCGCTAATCTCAGGAAATACTGGCCCGATTTCAAAAATTCTTATTGTGTTAAATAGTGCATTTATTAAGGAAGGATATAGGCTATTTATATAACATTACGCTACAAACAGTAGGAGCGGATTATCGATGAAAAATTATAGAAAATCGGATAAAAAATTGTGAGCTTCCGTGGCATGCGCTAGCTAAACGGTCAAACTAAGATAAAAAACATGTATTACAGAGTTTATTGCAGTTTAAAAGTTTAAAAGTCCAGGATAGCATATGCCCATCTTTTAAGTTTGACTCACTATAACCTTTTTCCACAAATTAACGCGGTAGAAACCGCAGGGGACCTCTCGCTGTGATATAACTGTAATACTTAGTTAGACATATGGTATCGCGGACTTTCTTGTAGATATTGATGTCTTCTATAACATTTCAGTAAATCACTTAGCTCTATTGTCATTACTTCCGCAGCGAACGCGATAAAGGGTTATTTTTTGTTTTTTTTTCTTACGGAACTGTTACATATATAACTATATTTATTAGTGATGTAACGAATGTTGGATTTTTCACATTCGCGGATGCGAATGCGATTGCGAATATTTATCTTCAACATTGCGAATGCGAATGAGAATATTATAAAATTTCAAAAAAAGCATGCGTAAAATGTTTGACAGGTTTGACGTTTCGTGTCGGTCATGTTTAAATTGAACATAGCCGAACCGATATTGGTTAATTGAATGAATTTAGTCACAGAACAGAAAGTTCATTCTAAAGGTTTTGTTTTGTTTTGAGGTTAGTTTTATGTTATTTATCAAATTTAACTGATATTTATACATTTAAAGCCAAGGGTTATAAATACTTAATACATTAGATATTTAAAGTTTAATAATTTTGTTTCAAGTAATTGTTTAGTTTTTTAGTAAATAGAAACTGTAAACTTTATTTAAAAATGGTAGAATAATATACTACTAAATAAATGCAAACCTTACATTGTAACAAGGCTGATCTCTGAAGTTCTTTTTTCATAAATGAGACTTTAATTTAGAATGTAGAAGTATGATTTAATAAAAATATCTAAGTGTTATCTATTGAATTATTATTTCATATGCATGCAGTGCATATAATAATTTCCTTTATGATTATTAAAAACATTCGCTAAATATTAGCATAAATTTAGCGAATGCGAATGCGAATATTGAAAAATATGCGGATATTCGCGAATGCGAATATGAATATCCGTTACATCACTAATATTTATATAGAAATACATATTAATATCCATGACTTAGAGTACAAATACTCTTATTCATCATACCAACATGTGCCCCCACCGGGATTCGAACCCAAGACCTCTGAGTAGGCGACAACTTGAAACTAGCAGTGCTATTCTGTAAAAAATTCAGGCGTAAATACCACTCGGCCACGGATAAATTACATAGATCCCAAGGGAAGGCATACGGAGAATGGGTCATGCTTGTGTCCCAGCAGTGGGAACTTTCATATAGTGATGAAGATAATCCTTTTTTTGTTAAGTACGCAACAAAGCCTTGTTAATTAAACTTCATAAAGTATGAATATGTAATTATAGCTATTGTTGAATTATACAATATTATACTTTTAATGTTATTATGAAAAAAATATATAATTTACATATTATTCGCATTGCTTGACGGATCCGGTTGGATTTTTTTAACAAAAAAAGTTTACAACCTTTGATTATACGTACGATGTTATTTATAATTAAGTAAATAATGAGTACATAGACAAAAAAAAACATTCGCATAGGTAAGGCATTTAAATCTTCTTTATTAGATAATGTTATAATCTTACGGCAAACACTTGATGGAACTCGGAAATAATTTTGTTATGTTTTATTACAAGTGTGTAGCCCGTGATTTCATCTGTGAAGAAAAAAATATTTTCCATTACACATTTATATCCTCTGTAGGCATGTGAATGACCTATGAACATAGTTTTTTGTATATTTTATTACCTATGTGTTTTTTGCCATGCGTTGAGGCGACCGCAAAGAACACATACGTAATAATACATGTATCTCTTATCTATTAGACAAGTCCGTCCGTCCGTCTGTCTGTGGTACTGTTTCAGCGGCCAAACCGTAAGAGATAGACAAAGAGAATATTTAAGTTATAAGTTAAGAATAGTCTGACAAGACTACGAACCGTATTTGAGTAACGTAGCACTTCCGGTTTTCGAGAAATCACGAATTTCAAACGAAACCACACAAAATCTCCGAAGTTCTCAATTAATTAAATACATTTTTTTTTAAATCAGGTTTTGGTGAACATTTGGTTCACTGGTTTGCTAGTATTATATAACATATTAATAATATCAATAAAAATGAACTAATAATTTATAAAAGTGGTAAAGGTCCTACTAATATACCAATAGCTACTTTATGTGGGAGGCCTCCTAACTTTGTTGAACAGTTTAAACACTTCGAACATGTCTTAACTGATAGAGTCTGTGCGGAAAGAGAATGGGCGTGGCGAAAAACGGAACTAACATTAAGATTTTTATTTAGCAATCAAACCCAGCAATCTGTAAAACGTCAAAGTTTTGTATTGATACGGATTTGTTTGTTGTTGTGATTTCGTATATTTAATCATGTCTAAAGGGGTAAAACCTTAATACGGTAGAAAAGCACTACAGCGCCCTCCAATCTAAATCCCATTCTCTTTCCGCACAGACTCTACTTTGTTTTTAACAGTACGAAGTTTAAAACAGTGTCTTACTTTTTTGTAGGAAGGCCGGTGTAGTACGTGCCATCTTTTACTTTAAGCAAATCCATTTATAGATATTGGGAAGTGTCCTGCAAACATTTGTATTAAAGGAGAACGGTCACGCCCCATAGAAAAAAAACTCAAGACGACTGAAACGAGTCATATCTCAGTTAAATTATATTTATATTTTATATTGAAAATCAATGACTAACACCAAAACATTGCTTCATGTTTTTGTTTAGGTCTTACACAAAAAAATACAAAATGCCTATTTATCTACAAAAATCGTAAATGCAAGTAACTAAATGACGATACAGTAGTTACGGGAAACATTATGTAGGTGACCTGGAGATGCAGCGGGATTATAAAGTTTTTGAATTTCTGATACAACTATGAACTAAGGATTCAACTATGAACTAAAGATTCAACTATGAACTAAGGATTCATTACAACAATGATTCATTGCAGATCAGAGATTAAGGCCCGTATTATAGAAAGATTCTCAGTGATTGATCTAGTCTTGAGCATAGTTAGAAAGGGATGTCGCTATATATAGCACATAGCGGCAATCCTTTCTAGCTGTACTCAAGTAAATATAGTTGTCATTCTGTAATACGGGCCTAAGATACCTACCAGGAACTGCCATAAAAAAATAAATGAAACCCATATGTCAAAATAAAGATTTTTGGTATTTATATGCCCCTTAAAACATTATCCATGCCCAGTGGTCAAAGTGATATCGATGTCTAGCCTACCCAAATTAATACTTACACAACAGTACCTAATGATGTGCGCGCAACTTCCCAATGTTCTTTTACCATATCGAGCGTATCACGAGCAGTAATATTCTGTGATTGCGTTTATAACTTTTTTATTGTGCAATAAATCGAATACGAAGATTTTAAGGAATCCTAAATAGATTGTTGTAGTAGGAGTTCAAAATTTATATAATCCAGCTGCATCTTCAATAGGCCTTTTCGCTAACTGATTTTAACAGATGAAAGTGATAATCACCGAGCTATTTAGTGATCCAATTCTGCTTTATTATAACGCAATTATGTTAATCGTTCTAAAAAGTATCGATGTATTGAAATTTTCTTAATCTTTAGTTGCACTCTGTAAATGACAAAAAGTTTGTGAATAGGCTCTAGGCGACTGGTCACTTAGATCCCATAACTGTGTATCGTCATTTAGTTACATTTATTTACGAATTTTGTAGATAAATAGTCATTTCGTATTTTTTGTATAAATCCTGAACAAAAACATAGAGCAATATTTTGGTGTTAGCCATTGATTTCGAATATATATATATATATAATTTGATTATATATTTATCTTATTATTTGATTCTTTATTTATCTTTGGAACCTTGCATATTTTAATAATGTATTTTAGTTTTTATATATTTTAAGGTTTTTAGTTATATATATATATTACTATTTGTTCTTTAGTTAAATTATTAAATATACATTTGATTATATAAAAAAATACAGAAAAACTAAGTTGTCTCGTTTCTGTCGGGTCCTCAAATGACCGTTCTTCTTTCACAAGAAAGAAATATTTTTATGTAGGATCTATTTTATTGTGTAAAAAGTATTATTGTGTCTTCAAACAGGCATCAGCTAATGTGCTTTGGTTATTTTTAATATTTAAATAAATCAATGTTTTTAAACACGTCATGATGTCTCATCCAAATCAATAAAGGATTTGTTTGAAAAAATTTTTTGTTTCAAATACAAATTCATTTCTATTTTAAACTTATAATATATTATCCTTGTCATCGGCTTCAATATTTCTCTTCTTCGAAGTTTTTTTTTAATAAAAAGCAATTTGTCTTAAAGAACTTTATTAATTACTCTCATGAGTCATGACTTCACACGGACAAATAAATACACTCTAGAATTTCAATTCTTTTGAAATTTTTTTACACTTTGGGTAACAGGTTTTAATATAACCACAGTAAATTAGTATACATCTGTGAAATCATCAATTTTCTTATCTAATAACTATGGCATTCCAATTAAATAAGTAAGTACCTACCAGTATCACAAATAACAAATTTTTGTGTCATGGTCACAAATATAATTGCTAACTTATCCTTAAATATTTATGACACTTAAAAATATTCAATATTAACGAATTTCTATAACTCCACTAATTCACAAATGTCTTTAGAAGTCCACAGAATCCTACTAAAGATACAACACGCGTGACTAATTTACAATGTTATTGTAACTGAATCAGACCACTGACGGCTGGCCGTACACTCCAGCAAACAAAATAACATTGACACTTCTCTCTATGATTAAAAACACGAACTCCCTATTAGCTTCAAACCTTTGCCCTAAAATCCTGTTCTCAAGCCCTACAACGGTAGACGAAGCGGCTGTAGTTCCTTCTTCTGTTACTTCTACCTCGACAGTCTGCAAAGTCTTCGAAACGTAAAGAGGAGTATCAGAAACACCAGGTAACTGCGCCTTTGACGCGTCAAATATGGAATGTATACCACTGTACTGCAGAGGAGTTATCATATCCAGTTTATTGGAAATCTTGAATCTTGGAATGAGACAATCCACATCAGTCGAACTTCCTGCTTCCCTCAATTCGTCAATCCAGTCCAGAGAGTTCGTCGCGAGATTGTTGAGAAGCTTTTTGACAGGTATACCATTTAACGGTACAAGGATGAGCATGGAATATTGAGAAGTCTTCCCGTAAGTCATCTCCAAAACTTGGGCTTCTATTTGGGGTGGATACGCCAAACTGTGCGGTGCTTTCTGATACATCAAATTTACTGTACCGATTTGTTTCCCCAAGGAGTCGTAGAAGGAGCCTTCTTTGGTTTGTGAAGGATCAAATTGGTAAGTCCAGCTTGCTTTGAAGTACAAAGCATCGACTAGCACCATTCTCAGGTTCTCTAAAGCCTGAGGTGTTACAGCATTCGTTATCAGACCATCTGTGGCGATGCACACGTAGTAATTTATGTCGTGAGCCAACTTCGTCGTGTTGCTCGCATCTACTGAGTAGATGTCGGTGTTGTAAGCAGTGGCGGCTTGGCAGAACTCCGGATGTACCTCCAAGGAGCAATCGGTGAACATAGCAGATTGTCCTTTCAGTATGACGTCCTGGCTTCCACTCTGCAGTAGGCTGTTCAAGGCCATGTGTAACGACTGAGTTCTCCGCAAGTCCCTCGGGAGTTTAAGTCCACCCATGAGCTCAAAGAACGTGTCGCCCGAAGATCCTTCAGCCAGAAGCGAGAAAATACTCCACAAAGACAACGGAGACACTGCGACATTCTTAGTACCAAAGTTTTCTTGGAACGCGTATGTGTTTTCCAAGAGTTGCAACGCGAATTGGTTCACATTAGCCAAATCAGTTGTCGCCGGCGGCGGCGGCGGCGCTGCGTGCGCGGCTGTCGCGAAGATCAAGTATGTAATGGCCTTCCACATTTTACACGACTAAATCGCAGAGGCTTGAGCGCAATACTGATGGTAAAAAGCGATGCTATCAATTTCAATGGTTTTCTCACGTGTGCTGCTCACAATGGGTATCATTTAACTGGTTAGGCAACGTTCATCTCGACGATTTAGTACTAAGGGCTTATATGACCATGTTTTCAATCGATTTGATCCAATCGATCCAGGCTTGAATTGTAAATCGATAAGATGTTAATTTGTGCTATGCTTGACAATTTTGTTAATTGTGCTTTTATTAGAAGTTATATTTTTTTATTAAGACTGTGATTACTAATAATTTTTTTTTTCATGAATTTATGTGTGGTGTAGTTTTTGGGATTTATGTACTGTATAACAAACACAGTAAGCGAATGCTTAGTAATAATTTCGTATTCTTGATGGTCTATTCATAAGTTTTGAATCAAAGGCTAAAATTAAAATTATGTAATAAACTAAGTAGTACAATAGACTCTAATGGCATATTTTTCATGATTTACAAATGTCTAAGTACGATTAACGCCTAGCTTAGACCAGAAGCAGCTGTGTCATTGCAATGATGTTTGCATTTTATAAAACATTGTCATTCCTCGGGGTGTACCATGTAACTGGATTGACATTCACTTAATTTTGCAACTTTATCATTTAAGTGAAGTAGGCACAGCGGATTTTCCGCTCGAATTGGAGCGGCCGTCAGGGGAAGCAGGGCTCTACCATACAGAAGACCACAGTAAAATAACACACTATTAATAAAACTAGTTTTTACGGATTAATGCACGAAACTTTATTTATTTATTGACGTTTCGTAGCCTTTACAGGCTTCGTCGTCAGAATAAAACTTTTATTATTTCGTGCATTAACCCGTAAAAACTAGTTTTATTTAATGAGTGATGTGCGTGAAAACCTAAGAAACAAATATGTTAACCAGTACGGGCTGGAAACCGCTAATAAGATCCGCCGATTGGAAGGTCTGAAGACAAAGCGCGCAAGGAAACTAATATCGTTGAATTTCCTGAAGAGATGCCGAGACCACAATCTCATCTCACCAATAAAAGTTTTATTCTGACGACGAAGCCTGTAAAGGCTACGAAACGTCAATAAATAAATAAAGTTTCGTGCATTAACCCGTAAAAACTAGTTTTATTTAATGAGTGATGTGCGTGAAAACCTAAGAAACAAATACACTATTAATATTTTTTCTAGATTTAAACATCTTTAAAAATAAAAAAAAATACTATAATTGCCATTTCTTCTTTCAAATGTTTAATATTTGTAAAGGTTACATCTGACGTTGTGGGTTACCTACAATGCGAAGAGATGGCGCTGCCTTGCAGCCTAAGAAATGCTAGATGAAATTACATACGGCCATCAGGGCCGTGGTAGCATATTGGCAGCAGATAGCGAAGGGTGCGGGTTCGAGTCTCTGCTGCCTAGGCCGCGTGGTTTTTTTTCTAGTAAAATTTTCTTTCGATTTAAACTACCAATTGGGTTCAGGCCGCCAAGATGGGAATGGCTGTAGCTGCATACTTTCTGCCGCATCATCTATCTTTGCGACTGGACTCCACTTACCTACACTTAAAATTAGGTGGGGTGTGGTAATTTTTTGCCCTTCGTACAATAAAAGTCAATTTTGCGACATAGGAAATCCATTCTTATATTGATTAAAATGTCCGCGTAACTAGTTATCTTCATAATGATTTGTACATTTCGTTTGTATTAAGACCTTAGGTTAGCTTAAGCTACCAAAAAACCTATAAAAATGGGTCCATGTCAAAAGTTAATGCTTATAATTAAAGTAACGTGTTAAACCCCTGGTCTGACTGGCATTTGTAACACCTTGATATATGTAACGAATGTTTAAATAGCAGTTCAAGGTAATGTTTGTTGTTTTGACTGTTAGTAAGCACTTTTGAATAAATGCATTGATTTAAAGTAAATCACACGTGTTTCCCGTGGGGTAGGAAGTTTCTGATTTAGGGATTTTTTTACAAATTAATTAAGCTTACGCCGGCGATCTCGTCCCTGTTAACTTTAGTTTCGTGTAACTTTGTAATATTTTTTTTTCATTAATAACCTTCCACAACGTACATCATCATCAGCCTATTAATGTCCCCACTGCTGGGGCACAGGCCTTCCCTATGGATGGAATAGGGAGATTGGGCCATGACCCACCACGCGGGCCCAGTGCGGATTGGCGGGTGCTAACGATTGCAGATGCAGCCGGGACCAACGGCTTAACGTGCCTTCCGAAGCACGGAGGAACTCGAGATAGATGTTTTTTTGGTCACCCATCCAATGACCGACCACTGCGAAAGTTGCTTAACTTCAACGATCGCAGCCGAACGCGCTAACCACCCGCGCCATCGAGCTCCTATAGTTTCTCCTTTAACTTTAGTTTCGCGTAACTTTGTTTTTCACTAAGAACCTTCCACAATGTACATACCACAGAAAAGAATATAAAGATTGGTATAGCAGATTACTGATCCACTGATAGTTTTGGTGGTGGTGGTGTGTTTCTCTCGGTGAGTAAGGTTGCAGGGCTCCACGGGGCAGGGGAAAGAGACAGGGTAGGCAGCGGCGCGAGTAATATTTTTTGTATAGCAAGCTTTTGTTCGCCGCTTACCATCACGTGGGCCATATGCTTGTTTAGAGGAAAATTTAATAGAGGTTTTGCCTACGTAATAAAAAAGGGGTTCCGTATGATAACTTCCATTATGCAAAAAAATACCAAAATATAACCTTATATCGCGTACGCTGCTAAGTCATGGACATGGAGAAAAGTGATGTACTAAAGTACCCCTTTAACATAAAAAATCTTTACTTAATAAGTTTTAATATGTGAAATGAGTTATTGTGTCTGTTCTTTTTATCTAAACTCATTCTCATTAAATTTATTATTTCTCATTAAAATATTCATATTTGATAAAAATGATGAGATAATTTCACGTATTTCAGTGACGTAAGTATCTCTATCAAAGATATACAATTTGTTTATAATTTGATATAGTAAGTACAATTTTGATTAATTTCGCATGAGAAAATTGTATGTAAAAACGTAACAAGAATGAACAATAAATCAGTTTTATCAGAATCTCAAGTAGTTTATGTGAAAAAGTGTAGTAATTTGCACAATGCATTCTGATGGAAAAGACGGAAATCTCAAAATCTTTGGAGTCCCTAAGATTGAAAAACGATAGAAATAACTATTGTGAGTACATTATATTTCCTTTATACTTACGTAGTCTTTGTTTATATATCTACTAGCGGACCCGACAGACGTTGTCCTGTCTACACGTCTTTGTGAATCTAAACCATTCTCAGATCTCAGACACACAAAAAATTTCATCAAAATCGGTCCAGTCGTTTAAGAGAAGTTCAGTGACATACACACTCACAGAAGAATTATATATATAAAGATACACAACATTACATTTAAATGAGTGCCTATTAATAAATTTAATGATATGTATTTATTATTACATAGAAATATTTAAATTACAATAGCTTAAAACTTATTACTGTCTAAAAACTTAAAAATAATTAAATACAGCAGCATACATTAAATGCAGGTGTCGATTCTAGCATGATTCTCTAAAACTAAACTTAAATTTGACAGCAGTTTAACCTTGTCATTCTCTATACAGAATGAAAAGGAGAGACTGATGTTAAATTTAGTTTTAAGTTTAGATAATCACGCCAGAATTGGCACCAATATACATTTATTATATTTATTTTAAACAAGTACCTACCTAATTGAATTCGTGCCACGTTGGCATGTAAATATATTATTTGTTTTTTTTTATTTAAAAGGGCTATGCTCGGCGTTTCTCTGAAGTATCGCATCAGGAATGAGGTAATCCGACAGAGAACCAGAGTTATCAACATAGCCCACAAGACTGCTAATCCGGTGTGTAAGTTGAAGTGGCAGTGGGCTGGCTATATTTGCCGAAGAACCGATCACCGTTGGGGTAGACGAGTAGTGTAGGACGTCCTCAGGCACGATGGAGTGACGATTTGCACAAGGTACACTATCTCTAATGAACATAGGCTATAGAGAATTTTCAAAAAAGGTTAGAGTTCTGTATGATAACTTCCATAATGTAAAAAATACGAAATATAACCTTATATTGCGTACGCTGCGGAAGTCATTGACAGTAGAGCAAAGTGATGTACTAAAGTTATACAGAACACTATATTTTGTGTAACTATTTCAGTTATGTAACAACTAGAGGGCCCGGCAGTTTCACACGCGGGCCCAGTGCGGATTGGTGGGTGCTAACGACTGCAGATGTAGCCAGGACCAACGGCTTAACGTGTCTTTGAAGCACGAGGGAGCTTGAGATACATTTTTGATCACAAATCCAATGACCGACCACTGCGAAAGTTGCTTAACTTCCACGATCGCAGCCAAACGCGCTAACCACTTGCGCAATCGAGTTCAAGAAGAAAACAATAGATTAAATTGAAATTGGTAAGTTATGGTAGGTATTTATTTTGTCGGCAAATTTCTACGCAATATTTTGCTCTGCATTTCTCTAAAATACTATAAATCATATCCTACTATAGTACATTTTTAAATAAAGACGTACTCAGTCAAATGGACTTGAGATTTTTTGTTACTGCCTACATTATTGGACGAACGAACAACGTGACTCATTAATATTTGATGACTAATTAAATGAATACTCACATGACAGAAAAAAAATGGCTGTATGGGATTGCATCCTCTGCCTTACTTATAAGAGAATTTTACTAGAAAAGAATGAAAGGAGTTTCTTCGCTACATTTAAATTAATATTCAAGGCTCTATAAAGGTGAGTGGATAAGGATCGAAAACGATTAACCTCTAAGTGTTTATTTTATAAATACCTTGACGTCAAATAATATTTTTCAATCATGTTTCTAGTTTTATCTACAGGGTTGTCACAAATATAATAAATAATATTTAAATAACTAGATGATTTCATTAGTTTTTTTTTACTTCTCCAAAACTAAAAAATGTTGATGAGGCAATT